GGCAATTAAATTTTCCGAAAAGACACTTCTGCTATGAAAATTTGGTCTCGCGATCATTGCCTCAGCGCCGTATCATCCGTCCCATTTTGTTAACAGTTTTACGTCTACGTGATTGCGAACGTTTTCCATGGTTTTGCCGAATACAGCGTTGTTCATCAATTTGTACAAATTTTTCTCAAAATCGTTTGTCGCACGTGTTCTAAGCTGCGTGTTAAGTTCGATATAATTGCGGAGCCATGGGAATTGAGCAAATTTGAGTATACGGTGTATCTTTCCAATACGAAGACCGTGACGCGTGCACTGCTGCAGGTTGCGATAATGAATCACATAACGCTGCTTATTGCATAAGGTTGCGAGAAGCTTATCTTGCCTTTTGTTCGGAGGTTTGCCCCGCGTCGGACAGAACGGTAAGTCAGTGTGCGCGTCGTGCAGATGTTGTGGATCCAAGTCGACCTCCAGAATATATCCTATGGGTGAATCTAGCGCGATTGATGATACGTCGAAATTCGATACATCATCATCATCAACCCATCGAAATTCGGCGTATGGCAGCAGTTGACACATTGCCCAACCGTACAAGTTATTTACATCGAAGTACATCAAGTATGATGATGGTTGCAATGGATCGTAAGACTGCATGTACTTGTTATTGGCCTTTGCGTATCTACCGGAACATTGACTGAGACCACCGCGAATACCGCGCTCGATGAACATAATCATGTCGATATCAGTGAGCAATTCGAAATTAACGCCCGTATGCTTCAACATAGCATCCCACGTAAAACCAGGCAAAGTGTAATAATACGCGGGATCTAACCCGTAACTTTTGATACAACTATTGCGGAAATTTTCAAAAATATCGGCTAGTAACAAGACATCGGTCTTCAGATACAAGTCGCTATATTCACCCAAGGTTTGAATGGAGAACCGCCGCCAGATGTTCACAGCGTGCGCGTAATCGCTCTCGGATACCGTGTCACCCGTCAACGAACTGTAAAATGACTCGCGCGGTGGCAAACACTGATCCTGCAGCTTGTCCACGCAATCAAGGTATTCGTACGGAAAGACACCCTTTCGCATCAATAAAGCAAAATCCGTGTCGGACGAATTTGAAAATTCGGACCGAACAATTTTTAATTTGTCGTGGTTGAGAAAAGACGCCAATTTATCGAGACTAGAACTAAGAAATTTGTACGAATCGATGAACCGCAATTGTATACAATTTTTCCATTTATTCGTACTATCCGTAATGTTTCCTACAGTCTTTGTAAACGAAATATATTTCTCTTTGGTTATCGGTAGTACAGTGATTGAATCTTCGAACGCGGTTGCTATATCTTTGATGATGAAGTGCGAATCATAACCGGATAAGTTGTGAAAGACCACGGGAATGCAATAACTGTCTTGGTAATTTAGATTGCAATTGGAATGCGTGGGACCTCTGTACCGCCCAGTCAGGTGACAATGATCGGTCACGCGTGTATCATCCTTTGCGAATGATTTCTCGCACACATGGCACAGCGTAGCGTTCCGAAATGTCTCCCACTGTTCTTTTGACAAAGTTTCCATGGAGACACTTGCAGACAAAATATCCTTTACACGATGTGCTAGTTCTTCAAGTTCTTTGACAAACCACGAGATGCAATCCGGATCGCGACGACATCGATACGCGGATAATGACTCGTTGTAGGAACATCGTACATAATACGCTATACTAAATACGCTGTGATGTTGATACGCATACGAACTCGTTTGTTTTTCCCTCGGTGCTTTCTCCAGGATGCATTCCAAGTCGGCGTAAACTACAAACAGGACCCGCTCCTTCCTGCAGTAGTTGGTGAAGCTGAGCCATTTGTTATCATCGTTTGGCAAGGTGATGGCGCAGTTATTCATTTTTTCACAGTCGACGGTATGGCTTTCCAGCTTCTCGCTCGAGCTGAAGTAATGCAAACATCTGGAAAAACATTATTTTGTTATTAATATATGTCGCATTATTCATTATACATTGCGTTCTTAGTGTATACTTACCGGTCGCAAATATGTTTCTTGTGCTCCTTTTTGCTCAGCTGCGAGCTGACGAGTCAGGACAAATTCTTGATCCACGCGAAGTGTCCAGTGTTGTCATCATCATCTCGCGGATCTGGAATATGCAGCAGGTTGACATGCTTCTCCATTTTCTGTTCCGTGAGACATATGGGCACGACCACGTTTCCTTCTTTCTTTGTCGTGTTGTTATATCTCTTCTCCACACTATGAATGTTGATCGAGATATTGTTCAACCGTTCAAATTTTTTAATTTGGTTTATGTGCATTGGAAATTCAATGTCATGCATATTTAACACCGATGTATAGTGTGGTTACGAAGATTGACGATCTGCGTGTTTGTCAGCTGGACATAACGCTGCAACCACAGCCCACGCGAAACATGCATTGCCCTTGGATTGCACACTGATCACAGCTCGCTTCATTTTTATTTCGCGCGGTAATTCGATGTGACATCCCGCACGCATCGGTTTGTACTTGTTAACGTTAACGGTCAGATCGAGTATGCGTGAGAGTGCCCACCCGCTATCTCGTTCCTGAAATTCTTCCAAGGACGCTAAGGTTCGATAATACGCATCGTGAACCAATTGTCTAGATCGGATGTGGAAAAAAGTTCAACGTTCCTCGTATTGATGCTCTTGTTCGTGTGTTTATCACCCGCCACAAATTCACCGTTGAACACAGTATTCACTTTTACGCTACCGTGTCTCTTCATAACGCATCGCACATGCTCGAGCACGATATTCTTCGCATCTTGGAGAAATCGAAGAGGGTCGATATAGTCTATATTTACAATCGCCCCGGTTGATATGCGACTATTGAACGTTGTATCGATTTCTCGCCAAACAAGTGTCGAATGTCCGACTCCTGCGTATACGAAATGTCTGCGCAAAGTATTTTTTAAACCCTCGAGTTGCGGTATACGAGCAACCATCGAGTGTGCTGAACCAACCGATAGTCGTGGTTGTTTGGCTCGGCTATGCTGTTCCAATGACTCGAGACACTCGTCGCACTTTTGTTCCCATGCGAGGTATTCGTCTAGCGAGCCTAATCGAGCAACCTGATTCTGCAGCTCGCGTTCTACGGATGATAATGATGATGATTCTGCCATTTTTCTAGCAAACGTTGTAAACACACTGTAACTGCGCGCTCTGTTCGTCTCCGACTAAACTATAGAATATTTTGCTTTGAACTTTTTATAGCCCTTCATTCGTCTAAAAAATACAGGCCGTTATCAAAATTCAGGAAACTTCCTCGACGAACTTTTTTAAACACATTCCTGGGTCTTAAACTCATATCGACTCGTTGTGGACTTTGCCTAAGTGCGTGCCTTTCTTTATCTGATACAATAATAGGCTTGTAGACCTATGATTTGGTATCAGCAGTCTGGCGTCCACTCTGTTCGTCTTCGACTAAACTATAGAATGTTCTGCTTTGAACTTTTTTTATAGCTCTTCTGTCTTCCATATGCGCACACGCACACACGCACACATATCGTTATCACATTCTTCCTGCTTCTTTTATCTTGTATAGTGTATTGGATGAAGTTTTGTACCATATATAAGAATTCTGTTTTAAATATGTCATATTAGTGCATACATATTGGACACAGATTGCATGGTGTTATTTGGTAGACGGGGTTTCTACAGTTTGAACAAAATACACCATCAATCGCATCGTGTCTTTCGGTGATGTGTTCGCGCACTGCAAATATTTCTGTAACTGTATCGCGGACACCATCAAAAAAACATGATGTGCAGAACCGTAGATTGTCTCCAGAATTATATGAAAAATAAATGCAACACACTTTTGTTTGGCCTCTCAAAGTATTAATTTCTGAAACTTCCAATTTCTTCACTTCTTCATTCACTAATTGATTACTATTGTTACTATCATAATTACTATCATCCGTGAGTATATGATTTATATCTTCTTCTATTTCTTCGTTTTCTATTTCTTCGTCTTCTACTTCTTCATGCTCTATGTCTTCGCGATCCATAGTGAAAGAGCTCTGACTGGGAAATACATACAAAATTAAATCTATATGCTTCACTTTTGCCACTCTTCTCGTTATTATTATTTGAAGAATCAACGACGACACCTTCTACTTTACTTTCTTCGATAGTACTTAAACACAGGTCACAATAAGCGACTGATGCTGGAGGTGTGGGTAGCATCCTCGCTCGTTCGCTTCTATAGTCTAATCCCTCATTTTAAACAATCTTCGATAAATAACTCCCGGAAAACCTAGCCAAAAATAGTCATATCTTTACATGATGCAGCACTAAGTGCTTCACAGGATGCAGCACTAAGTGCTTCACAGGATGCATCCTATGATAAGATATGCATACCTTTCTAATACCATAATAGCACTTGTAGACCTACGATTTGGTATCTGCAGTCTGGGGGGTCGACGACTGACAAAATATTTTGGTCAAAATGTGATATTGTAATACACAGCACCGTTATATTGCAGCGTTTACAAATTGTAATAAAAAGTATAAATATTGCGCATTTCTATACTGCGCATTATTTTCTGTCGTACTGCGATGCGCTATGACTGGTATTATTTCATCGGCGTATGACTGTTTAATTGACTGGTTATAACGCTGTGCCAGAGAATTAATATCTAGTTTCAGAAGATATATTGATATGTGCATTAGAAATTTTGAGAACCCTGAAGAAAACGATGGAGGAGATGCGGCATTGTCGGGAAAACTTGCCTGTGTGTGTATGTGTTAAGAACGCTGAAAAAACGATGGAGGGGATGTAGCATTGGCGGGGGAAACTCGAAGGGAAACTTGCCTGCGTTGAAGAAGCTCCTGCATCAGTCGCTCTGTCAAAAGACAAGGTTCGACAGTAGCTCCCACATACAGTAAACCAAAATGTCCGATGTCGAAGTGAACGCTGCACAAGCAAATTATTACACGCCTGTTCAACATGCGGATGAGGATGAGGATCATCCCAGGTGGAAACAAAACGACAAGTGTTTCGAAGAGCCACCATGCAAAATAGAACGTAAGAAATGAGTATCAATGTGAATTTAGTTGGTACTTTGTGTGCACTTTCCCGACAAAATTTTTAAATGTATATAACATTTACATTATATTTTTTATAGCATTCCTGAGCCATGTCATGCTACTCGCATCCTGGGGCGCAGATATATTTTGACTGCAACGACTCATAAATATTTGGAAATTGGGCTCAATGTACAATATCGACCCTACTCCGTCGTGGAAATAGTCCTCGGCGACAATCGCGGTAATGAACTAATATTACATACGGACACTTGGGGAAAACTGATGGAAAATCATGGTGCTATACGACGACTTCTGGAAGCGCGCCCATCGTACTTTCCGCTACGGATTCAAAATTTAGGAGTGAAATTGTTTGAGCTAAATGGTTCAAAAATTGTAAAATTAATGCAATATTCTAAGAGTTTGTATTTGAGTCCTGCTACAATGAACAAGTTATTTACTTATGAATATTGCATTGATCATATATATACGCAGTTGTCTGAACAGGCATATCTGGTTAGATCAAGAATTCTAACTTTTGTAAAAGTTCTTCGAGAAAAAAAAAATTACCGAAATGTGCAATGCGGTAAAAGCGATACGTGAAAGCGCTGCCTTTGACAGTGAGTCACTTATTGATTGCGAGCTGCTGACATGTGCTTCGAAAGATATCTTGCACGAAGCTATGAGCTGTTTGGTATTCTGAGCTGTTTGGTATTCTGAGAAATAAATTACTTTGTTATATATTATGATACATCTTTTTTACTTTAGACCACATCCTTTCTTCCAAGTTCCTCTTATCCCCTTTCTTAGAATTTTATATGTTAATTATGTTAATTATGTTAATTATATTGATGAAAATACTTCTTTATTTGCTTATTATGGTTATTAGACGTTCGATAGACGTTCGTGAGATAGACGTTCGATAGACGTCTGATAGACGTTCGTGAGACGTTCGAGAGACGTTGGAGAGATGTTCGAGAGACGTTCGATATGGCGCAGTAAACGAACGGCCAGAGTCTGACCTAGTTTCGACTTATTTTTTCTTTCGTGACGTCATCACGCCCACTCTAAGAACCTTTCCTAGACGGCTTATAGCAACAGGCGACGGTGGTCTATAGGAGCTTTGGAGCATTGGGTAGTAACCGCGAGGGTCCGGGTTTCGAGTCTTAGCAGTAGGGCCCGACAATTTTTTTCTCTCGTGACGTCATTGTGCACACTCTAAGAACCTTCACTAGACGTCTAATAGCAACAGGCGACGGTGGTCTAGGAGCTTTGGAGCATTGGGTAGTAACCGCGAGGGCCCAGGTTCGAGTCTAGGCAGTTAGGGCCCGAGAGTTTTTCTCTCGTGACGTCACGGCACATCTAGTCCATGGAAGCAAAAATTCTAGGGAGGTTATATTAATAAAGGGAGTATTAGCGAGAACTATTTAATTAAAAAAAACGGTTTTGCCAAAAATTTTTAGAAATTGGGTTAGAACCGGCCTAGTAGCTATTCTACTCCTGTGCCATCGTGTAGGCCGCTATTACGACGTTTGTAGTTGCAGAGGGAACAAGCGCCTCTTGTCGTAATCGTCATGAGGCGTAGAGAACCTCATCGTTCACGGGCAATATGTTTATGATTCCATGCTCGGGATTCGTGAGCAGCGACATGAAATGTTCGCGCATCTTAACGACTTAGGTATTCGGTAGATTAGATCGCTGACCGAATTTACCCCAGAACTAATTGAGGCAAAGCTGTGCAACCGAACGCAACCCCGAATTTACCGTGATATTGTTTCTATCGAGAACAATACCCTCTGTTGTTTCATATTCCCTCAGGTATCGCTCTTTGGCCTCCTTATCGTCGGTGCATTCAGCAGGCCATCCGCTAGCCTCCTGCTTAAGTTGCAGAAAGCAGTTGATATATCCCGCGAACATACCTTCTAACCGAGTACTTGGGTCGTATTGCGAAATCTTAAATTTCTATATCTCGCTCACAGACCTGACACTATAGCCCTTCTCTATAGCCTTCCGTAATTCGCAGGATGCCCAGGTTCCCTCGAATTCTCGATCGGCCGGATTATTATGTATGTACGGAGATTGAGAAAATGTCTCGCAGCAACTACGGCATAGGGCGAACAATAATTTTCCGCGAACGCGAAATGGGAGTACAGAGTGAAAAAGATCACCCGGAGCGAGCACCTTACACCGCACGATCTCCTCCACTCAGCTAAAGTTAAAATCGGGAGCTATAACAATCAAAGCGGAACATTCCTCGCCCACGTACACGTCCGGATGACCGAGCGGAAAAGTGTCCTTAGCACAAGAGTCTTTAGCACAAACGGGTACAAGGAGCATACGTCTACGTAATGTATCTTCTCCGTACCCGTAATATCGCACCGGGTGAAGATGTTCCCTGTACCGACCACCGAAGAACGTTTCGCGAGAATCGAGAGGCTCAGTTTCTAACATCGAGTGATTCGCAAAGAAATCGCGCATCGGTTGATTGTCCTGCAACTCCCGATCGAAGACGCACTCCCACTTTTCCGTTACGATGTAACCTAGCTTCTGTAGACGAGATGTTGTCACGCGTGTTTGCTTGTATCGCGACTCTATAGTATCCCCTTTTACGGTGGTCGAGAGCGGGCTATCACGATTCACCCTGAAACACGCGGGACATCCATGCCAACACCCGTGAAATTGCAACACGTGTCTTTGCGCAGGATACGTTGTCTCGTAATACCCATCGACGAGCAGCCCTTTCGATGTGCGATGTTCGCGAGATCTAATTGCATGTGTTATAGTATGACCGAGCTCGCGCTCCATCCACAACAACCATTTTAGCGTTTGCGGGATTGATTGTTGACACGCCGATACCCACCCGAAGAAATAATATCTATCTCCTTCTCACGCAGAAAGTTTTTACGAAAAACTCTCATGCACGTAGAGACAACGGTTGTGCATTCTTCAAACGGACATACTTTTCCACGATCCAGGAAAATCTTACGGAACGCAAGACAAGCTCGTTGAAGAATATTGACATCGTTCCGGCAATAGCTCACAATTTCTCGTTGGAAATAAAATTCTGTTTTTGCGCACCATGTCCTCGTGCCATTCTAAAAACCGATAACGCTCAGGCAGTCTCATTGTTTCGAGAGAATAATATCTTGCATCTGGTATCGGTCCGATGTAATGTTGATTTTCGACAGTGTTAAATAAATGCGGAAACAGGCCTTTGCCTGCAGTATCCTTTAACCCGAAGGTTTTTGATAATGCTGGCAAGCGTATAGGCATATAATTAACACTGTTGATAAATTTTGTTTGCCCAACGGTTAACAATATAATCTTCATACTGTTTAAAATAAGCTTAGGTTCCACCCGATTACAGCTCTCGACCAAGTACCGTAGGATAAATTGCACATCGAATGCGCTTGCGTTGTGTGCGATGCAGATGATCTGTTTGAAACTCTTCCTCGGTCTCGTGACAAAATTGACGAATTGTTTCACCGGATTGTCTCGAAATATAAATTCGCATATCCCGCACCAACGACATCGCAACGCCATATTATTTACCTTCATGCAGCTTTCATATATCTGCTGCACAACACAGAGCGTGACAACGTGAGTTTTAACGTTTTCTGTGCCTTCGATCGTATCGTCTTGACGAAATCATAGAATACAAACGCGATGCAACCTTTTACGCGCTCACTTGTTTCTGTCGCTTCGTCAATGTCATCAACTACGTTTTCGTTTCCTACTCGCTGCGGATTCATCGTGTCGGATGAACCAGTGTCGCATCGAAGTGGTTTCATATAATATAGATGATTCATTGGTTGCAATGCGTTGCAAACATGACAAAAGATCTCATTGCAATTGTGTTTGTTCCTCAAGTTTCGCAAACGGCCACAATCTCTGCGAACTCTCAGGATATTACAGATGCTCAAAGATGAAGTGCCTTGGAGCGATTTTTGCGCTCGATGACGCTCGAAACACACCGACTCGTAAAATTCACGTTGACATGCGACACATCGTATTAGTTCTACGCCTGATATCTCGCACGCTGGAACGCCGTGACACCGTGGATATACGTTTGAGCACCGATGCCCTCTTTCCGGCTTATATGCCCTATTACAACGTACACAATAACCTTGGCTGCCCGATGCAGCTCTTAAATTTAATATTGGATTGTAATGCCGGAATTTTTCGTAGTACATAATATTCAGAGTCATTTTAGCTTCGCGCCCGTGGGAGGTGAGTACGCTGCTACCATCGTATATAGGGAGCGCACCACGTGCGAAAGAACTAAAGTAATAAGCAACGATCACGATATCGTTGCTGGCAAGATAATGCTGGAAACGCTCGATTTCGGGAATACCACACCCTTCTTCAGGTATACAAACACCGGCTTTCTGTGTCAGTTCGACCGCTAGGTCTCGTTTTAATATAGAATATTGCTTCCTCACGGAATTCCATTTATCATGTATTTCTCCTGTGCGCACATTGCCGCGTTCATTGTACACTATCGCAGCGACGAGCGAACGGGGAAAGCACAAATTGCCAAAGTTGTTTATAGTAAGGATCGAGCGTTTCGCTATATCTTCGTGAGTTAGTTTATATGATTTTTTTCCACGGCCAGAAGGTGCCGCGACATTGAAAATATTAATTTTGAAATGTTCTAAAATATCAAGACCTCCGGCACTCTGCGCTAACGAATTCACAGGATTCCAAATCTCGTTGTAGGTCAAGTCCCGAGCAGGACGAAGCGATAAACCCGCAGGCCCCCGCGTTAAGTCCGAATAAGTAAGCGTCAGCCCCACGTAGTTGTTCGCACCACCCGAATTTACCACGTCATCGTGGATTTCCCGAAAAGCATTTTCTAAATATTCAGTAATGTTGGCTCCTTCTGGAGGTGGGAGAATTCGAATATTCGACTCCCTCCTGAGAATATTAAATTTTCTATAATTACGCGACTTTTCCCTGAGTATTTCAATACATTTATATAAGGACTCCTGATTGTTGACCGTGTCGGCTTTTGCTGTCGCTTCGCACACACTTTGGTCTTCGCTTTTGTCCCTTCGATGTTCTTTCGACTGTTCATATCCACTACCCTGTTGTACTGTAAATATGAATTGAAAATGTTATACAGGTATAAATTTTACACACAATTAGAATAAGAATACAACTAAGAGTATAAGATATTTTCTCTTACCTTTTCTTACCTTCGACTAGTGTAACCTGCGAGATTCGGAAGTCCTGGGAGTAAAAGTGTGGTTTAGGGGACCCACCTCCAATGAGCTTGTCATTGATATATATTATCAAGGATACTTTACTGAGTGACATTCAAGAGGTTTTAGCCGTCGCTCATTGTTTGTTAAAAAATAATTAACAAAATAAGTTTCATAAATAGAATGTAATTTTCCGACACCGTGTATATATTTAAGGGATGAGCACATGCTATACACGCGCTATATATGAATATATTCACCGCACTACGAAACTTGTTCTGTTTTGATTATTTCTATTGTGTATATTCTTATTTGGTATGTTTCGTATTATCTGTGTTATTACTCTCAGTTGCTCTTTCATCGTTCAACTAGTTGGTCGTTTAAGTAAATCCAAGAGTTATGTAAATTTTCAAAATGTATTTACATGAATATTTACATATGATGCATAATTTCGACAGTTTATGGAATTTCTTATGTGAAAAAAAAGGTCGTTCGAAATGAGATAATGTGTCCGCGATGTAAAAAATTATTAAAAGTAAATAATCCACTTGAAAATCGTTTATTACATTGCACAAACA